CTTTAAATTTTGATTCAAATCGACGTTTATTTGAATTGGAAACAAAAGATTTGTTTGATGATTTAGGTAAGAAAACAAAAATTATTTACATTAGATTGTCTGTGAACATAATTTTTATAAGAATTAGAATAAAGCAATTCTTTAAAAGTTGTTGTTTTTTTTCCGACTAAGTCACAGTAGTTTTATGAACGACCCAAGAGAATTTCTATAGGAAACGATAAAAAACAAACGACTTTTGGGATTTTCATCAAGTAGCTGTGCCACAAACAAAAGTCTTTGTAGACAATGTTATATTCATTTCAGCTATTAGTGTTATTCTTAAGTTGACTATCAAATCATTTTCAGTGAAGTTATTAATCAGACTTAACTTGATTGTCATCTTATGATAGGCTATGCAGAAGAAACAATAATGACATTAAAAAAAAAATGAGAAGTTCTATTGCAATATTCTAATAAAGTCACTAAAGAAAACAAAAAAAATAATCATAGCAAAAATTTTAAGAATTCGAAAATCAAATTATTTTTTGTTTTCTAAAAATATTTGTCAATTTTTACGTATCTTTAAAATATTCATACATAAAGTATGTATGAGAGAAAAAACAATGCTTGCAATTTATTATATAATAAAATAATAGAAATAGTTCTAATAAAAGATAAAATTTTTTTTTTTCTAAATTTAGAATCATTACCGAAGACAGCTACACTTCGAAAATTAAATGATCTAATAAAACGTGCACGTTTAGCCAAAGTAAATCAATTAACTTTAATATCTTTTTCATATAAAATTCTTACTTATCTTTTTATTAATAGGTACATGCCTTAATTATTAGTGAATTAAAAGAAAGTATGCCAAGTGTTTTTGGTAAAGATTCTAAACGTAAAGAATTAATCAATGTAAGTATTAACTAACGAAGAGAATATGATACTTTCGTTCAAATTTCAAAGCGATTGATCATTTAAAAAAGATTCATTTGTCAAATTAATCTCGGAAAATAAAATTTTTTCTTTAATTCATAATTAGAAATTACATCTTGTCTATGAAAAAATTCAACGCGAACAAAATATTCCAATGGGCGATTTTCCAAAAATAGATCGTATGCAAGAATTATTACGAAATATGGTTTGATATGAAATTTAATTTTTATACTTTTGATTTTAATTATCTTGGGTATTTTTTTTTTGTCAGGATTTCACTAAATTTAAACCATTGGATAAAAAACTACTTGATCGTGTTGATAAAATGCTTTCCGAAGATGTACCAAAATTAATGAGCATGATACCCCAAGAAGAACATGCTTATTTACAATTAAAATCTGATACAGGACGTTCTACTCCATTACAGACAAATACAATCTTTACTGATCAACAAGCAACACCATTTGAATTAGGTGGTGTTGAAGGTATTAATGCTGGTCTTGGTGAAACTGATTGGATTGTTACACGATCAAGACATGAATATGATGAAATATTTAGTCAACTTTCACCACAAAATGGTAAAATTAGTGGTGCATCAGCTAAACAAGAGATGATTAAGTCAAAACTTGTAAGTTATTGATTTGAAAAAAAAAAAAAAACGAACAAAGATTTATAAATAATTATTCATAGCCGAATAATGTACTTGGTCGTGTATGGAAATTAAGTGATATTGATAAAGATGGTATGCTTGATATTGATGAATGGGCTTTATCTCAACATCTTAGTACGTATCGATTAATTTATTTTTTCTCTTTAAGTTTATATAAGAATTTTTATATTATTAATAATGATTTAAATTATTTTGTTTAGTTAAAATCAAGTTAGATGGTCATGAATTACCGAACTCATTACCTGAGCATCTTGTACCTCCAAGTAAACGTCATTTAATTTCTAATGGAAGTCCAACAAATGGCAATGCCAGTATTTATCCAACAATAGGCAGTGGTGGTGAACAAAATGCTGGTGGCGATAGTTGAGCTTCTTGTTTTTATTCTCTTCCCTTTCAATTAGTTGATATAAAGCACGAGTATTGGTTATATATGTTTCATACAACAAACAGTGAATACTGTAGAAAATAAATCACAAAAAAAAAAAATATACAAATCACTAATGTCTCATTTATTCGTTTATCTTGCCTATTTCTCATATTATTAATACAGTCGTGTGTGTGTATACGTTTGTTTTTGTTTCTTTTTTTTATAGAAAGTTTTTTTTTCTGATGTATCTATTTATGCTCGTTTAGAAGTTATGTATCCAATGAAAAGACATGAATAAACTGAACACATGCTCGAATTACATATAAAGACATATGTTCCGGAAAATCATGAAGCATAAAATGAAAAAAAAAGAGGAAAAAGAAATCAACGGATGACAACATTTATTCAATCTAACTTTCATTTTTAGCTCTTATCATATTCCACCTGTTTGTTCAATAGACTGACAAAATGTTATATTTAAAGTCATTTCCGTTTATATATGGAGAAAAATGGGTTAGCAAAGAAAAGATAATTAAATTGACTCATGCTTATTTATTTATTTTTTTTTTTTGTTATTTGAATTTGAAGAAAACCGAAACCAATTGATAAGCATTATCATTCCAATAAAAAAAAAAGATTGACAACAAACATAACAGAACGACAAAATAAATGTTCTTACATCTGTTAGTGAGTACGATCAATTACTAATAAAACTAGACAAGCTAGTCTCATTGTTCAAACATCTGATAACACGTAGGTAGTCATCTTTGAATCTTAATTCATTTCTCAGGTTTTTTCTCTTCATAAAATAACGAAGACGTTTTCTCTCTTGTTCTTTCTTTTTTCTTTTTTTCTTTGTGCCACCTTCACTAGGGAAAAAAAGTTTTTCTCTCCCTGTCGACATTTCTTGTAGTGTAGACTAATCATCCGTTGCTCTCTTGTTTTAACTGTTGAGTATATGTCTGTGTTGTGTAGATACCTTCTCACTTTTTTTTTTTAAAGGCATAGCAAAAAAAGAAAACGAGAGAGAATAAGAGAAAGAAGAAAGACAAAAAAAATGAGAGTCATAGACTAGATGAAATGAACGTCATATTCATTCTGTTAAGAGCAACAAATGTGAGCAACAGTAAATTTATCCTTAAGATAAAGACAGTTAGCATATGCCATTGATGAAAATGAAATAGACATAATCATTTTTCAACAAAAGTAAGTTTATGTTTTTATTTATTTCAACTACTAGCAATGAACAATTTAAAAAACTTGCTTATACATTTAGGATAACGTAAGTATGTTTACTACATAATAGTAAAGATTTACAGAATAGAGAAAAATTCAGAACAAGGATTAGAGACACTAGAAGAAACAGACGAAGAATATAGGAGAAAGAAAAGTGAAACGCCTACTTGCCGCCTGGTTCCGTCACCGTTCAGCAATGCAAAGAAAAACGAGCAAAATATGCCCATTGTACACAGAAGAAAGAAGGGAAAAAAAGAAGAAGAAAAGAAGTAGAAAAAAAAAGACCCGAAGAATGGTGTTGATGATGAACTTTACTTACTACATTGGTTATGTTGTATGACAGCATTAGTGACGGATAATGATGGTGGTTTTCCGACATAGCATACATTTACACACGTGTCTCTTCACGGTCGAATGCCTTTTCATCTCGAGTAAGTGAAGAAAAGAATGAGCTGTGTATGTGCGCATACATAATTAAGATAGGAAAAAAGGAAGATCGACGCGATTCAGGCGTGACACGACAATATGACAAGATCGACGATTCCTTTTATTATTAGGTTGTCCTCCTGTGTTGGTCCGGGCATCGTCAGTAATGATTGATGAAGAGTTTACAGTAAAAATGTGCATGAGCTTTTGCTTTTTTTTTTTTTTCTTTGCCCACCTTTTTTTCTTCACACGCAAACACATTCCGGTGCCGCCAACAAGCTGCTGTTTAGACTCAATCATCATCAACATCATCCTCTTTTCTTCATTTTCTTCTCTTCTATTTATTCTCTTGAGAATCATGATAAGAATATAATCTTCAAAAAAAAAAAAAACGACGTGTATAAGTCTTTACATAAACGCTTTGACATTGTTTCAATATTTAATTATATAAGTCAACTTCATTTTAGTTATTAACAAACTACTAGAAATAATGACGTTCATTTGGAAGACCTTTGATTTAGTGTTCTGACTATTTCATATCAACACTAGATTTAATGTCTTCTACCTATTACGTCAGATCATGCGACGATTCAATTATGATGGTTTTTGTTATTTCAGGGATATAGAATTAAATTTTATACAAGTTAATGATAATCAATTTGTTTTAATTTCAGATTATAATTTACTTCTTTTTTTTTTTTTTTAAAATTTTAATAAAAATACTTTGTCAAATCATATACATACCTTTTCGGAGGGTCATAATGATCGATTAATGAATTGTTGAAGCCATGTTTAACAGACAAAAGAGAACAAAAAAAAATGAACCTTTACAATTTTTCATAATGATTTCTAAAACAAGTTGTAACAAAACCTTAAAAATGATGACATATTGCATACATAACGAGTTTCTACATTTTTTTTGTTCTTCTTCTAAAGAAGTCTGACAATAATGGTTAAGTTAAAATCATTCAACCATATAATTTGCAACTAAGCAACATATTTAAAGTAGTACTTGAAAAAGCTAATATTTCTTCTTCCTTTTTTTTTTTCTAATTATAATGAAACAACTTACTAATGTCTTGATATATATAATCTATAATTTTAATGAAAATGAAACCAATGACGATTTTTCTTTTTCTCTTTGTTATTGTACACAAATTTTAATCGTTACTATTTTGTTCTCTTGTTCTTTATAATAATAGCAAATAAGTAAACATGAATTTTGATCTGTTCTGTCATGATGATGTTGTTGTTGCCATAGAAGAAACGTTTTCTTCTTTTTTCTTTTTTTTTTTTTTTTTGCTGATCACTTTTTTTTGCGTATTGCATCCATACACATGCTAGAGTAAAAAATCATTCACATATCTATATATCTTATTTTAAAAGATGGGTGACGATCTGACAGGTAAGTAATGAACAATGAAATAAATCGCTATGGCATCATTTATATATTTTGTTTTCAAGAATATCCAATAAATCGTGTACGTTTACAACCATGTAGTATTTGTGGACGACAATTTAATACAGAATCATTGGTGAGATGATAATATTAATAGTTTTTCAATATGATAATCGTTGAAATGTCCTTCAAAATAAAATAGTTTACTAATATCTTTGAGTTTTCTTATATGTTCTTACTTGAATATAGATTTTGACATGTAAGACAATAGAAGTATGAGAAGTTTAATGAATTTATTTATTTGAAATCATACTTGATGTCATCATTTTTGTTTGATGGAATACTCTCGAAGTACAAGTGTATTTTAATGATAAAATGAGATGTAATGCATAAGAATGAAAAGAGATATTTTAGAAGAATAAAGATGCTTTTTTTTTTATTTCATTATCTATAAAAATTGATAAGAAAGAAAATATTTCTTTTTTCATTTCTTACATACTCAAAGACTTATTTGATACTGATAGATTCATGATATAATTATACGACGACTCCTCTTATCACATTATAAACAATATCTAAGAACTAAATAATATTTGATGAGAAATTCGATCTTAAATTATAGAAAAAACATCAATCTATTTGTCGACAAGTAACAACTAAAAAACGAAGAGTATTTGATGCTGGAAAACAACGAGCTGCAGGTTCTGATGTTCCATACAAAGCAACAAAAAGGACAATGCAGGTGAATATCGTCATTTGTGTGTAATATAGTCAATACATTTATCAGTATATTTAGATATATCAAGGTGAAGTTCGAGCCCAAGATGATAGGGTAAGAGAAGAAGACCACAAAATTGATTTTCATATGATTCTGACATATTTATAACGTTAGTCGAAACCAAAATCAAAAGCTAATTGGAGACAAAAACATGCACAATTGATTCAATCGATACGTGAAGCTCGAACTGTTACTCGTGCTATAAAAGAAGGAGGACCATTACCAGCTTTTCGACCGAGTGAAATTCCATCAGGTTGATTTTTTCTTGTGTGCTTTTTTTTCTTTTCTTATATCTTTATATTATTTATTAAGATTATGTTGCGTGTCCTTACTGTCATCGTAATTTTAATGAACATGCTGCTCAACGACATATACCTTTGTAAGAATTCATTTTATTTTCTATATAATCTTTGTTTGGTTTAGTTGTCAAGCGCAACATGAACGAAAACAAGTACAACCATCTAGACCTAATCAACAATTTGATAGAGTATAACTAGATTTCAATAGATATATATATTTTTTAAAAATCGAAATAAAATTCGTTGTCTTTTTTATTTCTAGGGACGAACTCTTCCTCCACCGAATTCATTTCCACACAAACAGCAATCATCTCATTCAGGCATGCGTACAGGTCCTCATGATGTTTATAATAATGGTTATAAACATAGTAATTCAGCTCCTATGCTGGTGCGACGAAATCCATCTGAGTAAGTTTTTCCAAGAAAAATTTCAAAATTAACTTTATTTTTAGATTACAACATCCACCACCACCACCACCACTGCGTAAACCAACAGGTGGTGTTTGGGGAGGTTTTAAAAAATTATTGGGTTTCAATTCTAGAGAAGAAGAAGAACCAATATCTTCAGTTAATTATTATCCACCCGAAGTAAGTTATTTTACAAGTAAATTTTTATAACACATGATTTCAATAAGGATGAATATGATTATGAACCACCTGTTCATCGACGCGGTCAACAACCGGTGCTTATGCGTACAGGACGTACTCAAGAGAATACAGGTTTAAATGTACGTGCTCGTCAAAAAAACGATGAAACAAGTTCATACATGCGTCGAGGACCACCTCCACCAGCTCATCCTCCTTCTACATATAGTCAAACACGAAATCAATATGGTAATGGCCAATATAATTCCACACGACCAACTGCTGTTGGAAGGCCACCACAACCACCACCATCCGGAAAGCGATGTAATGAATGTGGTGGTATCTTTCACAATCCATCCGCTCGTTTCTGTGCTCAGTGTGGTTCCAGACGTTAAGATCAAACGTTTCTTTTGTCTTTTTTTTTTTTACATACAGTGTTTGTACAAGAGTTTGTTTTTAAATTTAAAAAAAATACACTATCACACATGCAAAAAAAAAAAAACAAAAGAACTTATCCAAACACTTGATTTGTTCGTCGTTTAATAAAATCATGAATTAATGTTTTAACACTTGGTGTCAAAATAAATTGAAATATTGAAATAAGTAATAATATACAACTAATAAATACTAATATAATTTTATATGAATATTCTAATGATATACTATGTTGTAAATCTACTGCAGAAATAATAGTTAAAATTAAACTTGGAAAATTCATAATTACAAGTGCTAGATAAAAAATAATAATACGTTTAAGCATTTTAAATTCACGATTAATACGTCGTTGTTCTTGAGATATAATTATTTGATTTCGATGTTGACTATGAGAATGATGTGTAATTTGAGCAATATGTAAATGTGCATGTTTTATAACTGATATATAAAAAATAGCATCAATTATTAATGGAATAAAATACTCTATAGATAAGAGTAAAAATAATTCAAAAGATAAATTCCAATTTAAATGACATGCATTAATAATGGGATTATAAGTAAATAAACCAAGTTTTAATAAACGAAATGGATAAAACCAAGCAAATATCCATTGTAAAATAAGAATAGCAAGAAATATATGATAAGTACGAAAATAAATTGTATGATGATATACAACTGATGTAAAACGATGAAATGCTTGTAAATAATATGAATGATAAATTAATATTAATGATACTTGAAAACAATAAGCATTTATTTCACACCAAAGATTATTTTCTAAATTAATTTTTAACATAAATATAGCATTTAGAAGAAGAAATGTATTTGCCATGATAACTGTTATACTTGAATGACATGTTAATGCAATACTAGCTGAATGTATTGATGATGCAAATATAACAAATAATACAAATGAAATAGATATTAATATAGATAATATAGATGTTACAAGAATAAGCCATTCGATTAACATTTTGATCGTAATCAAATGACACTTGAAAAAAAAAAAAAAGAATATATTTAATCTTTTCTTTAGTTTTTTACGACATTATAAACGGAAGAGGAAATCATTTTTGTGTCTATTGAAGCTAAGATTAATTTCGATTAAAAATTAAGAAGGAAATTGTCTCATTTTTCCTTACTTATTGTAATAAGAGTAGGACAAAGACAAGTTGTAATTTCCACTATTAATTGTAACACAAAAAAAAAGAAAGGAGTTAGACAGCGATATATTTTCAGTAAGATATGATTTTTATTCTAGCAAAACAAATGAAAGTTTATTGAAGAAGTACAAAACCTAATCATTATAATGAAAATAATCTCAATGACTTCAAATATAATCTTATGAATATGATATTCTATTTAATTAATAGCAAACTAATAAAAGAAAACTACAGTTGTATTACGTTGTTCAATGATGAAAGACGCAAATCAACATCTATAATTTTATGTTCATAAATGAAAATGTTGCTATTCTCATTAATTCGCATATATAAAATCCATTTCCTCAACGATATTCACTTATATTTGTTGATGCATCCAACCATAAAAATCGAGTTATTCGTATAACATTCGATTGCTATATTTATGACAATTGTTTGATGTTAATTGTTGAATGTTAAACAGTTATATTGTGTTTACAAAATCAAGTAGATGCTGATTTCCGTGAGAATTAATAGTAACATCATATGAAAGTGAAATTGTTGCATTTTAATCAATTATATCAGCGAAATAAGATTCAAAAATAGATATTTGATAATTAGGTTTCTACATATCATGAACATAATAATGAGCTATTTTCCATTTTAATCTATCGTTGATTGTTTCTTTTCATGATACTTTCTAAACGTCATTGAATTTTTAGAACACCAAACTCATTGACTCCTTTCTTTGAATAAATTATATTATTTGATGGATAATGAAGTAATAAATATTTTATAATAATAATTCTGAGCAATGGCAACTTAATTTTTATTGCTATCCAATCAATGGATATGAACATTGGTAAGAAATAATTCTTCAACTAGATACTTGAAATAAGAGAGTACAGAAAAAACGATTCATAAATGAAAGAAAATGTAACATACAAAAATTTTAAGCTAGATAGCTTCAGTTTGTTTTTTCGAATAAATTAAATACCAGATGGTCCCCTATCCTTATATAATATGCAACTACTTAGGGGTACTCAAAAGTAGTGGCGGAGGTACATTATTGTCGTATAGAAGGCTTGAGAAAATTTTCTTTTTATATGAAATGATAGAGAAAATAAAACTCTATTTTTCTGTACTATTTCATCCCTATTCACCT